TTTCTATAGAACACCTTCCCAGGCAAATCTTTAGCCTTCTCTAAAACTTAGATTTCTAAATTCCACTTTTTTAAGCAGAAAGAAAATGTTTCTGGTACCCTTAATCTCATTATTAAGAATAGCATAATAACCAGGCACACCAAGGCAACAAGAGTTCAAGAGAACTATAATACACAAGACCTACAGGCATACATACATACAGTCTCTGCCTATGTGCGCAGAGGGTCCCAAGTATGATGGAACGAATTTAACCGTAACAGAAAAAGGCTAAAGCAGAATAACATGTTTAATCGGACAGCTGTTTTAAACGATGTTGATCCTCTGAAAAGATCTTTCGATTCGGAGCGACAACGAAATCCAGAAAGCCTACAAGTGCGCTGAAAGCACTAAAGCACTCTTGAATAACCGACGTAGCTTCGAAAATATTTAGACGTTCGACGCAAATGTATTCAAGGAGCTAACGCATTCTTAAACATCTTTGGTTATTGTAGGTTTTACATCTCTAAACGCATCGCCTGCCCGCAATCACTATAAATTCACTGCCTTTGCATAATTCAACCTCCTTCGCATCCAGAACGTTTCCAGACAAAGTGGTTAAATTCTTAAGCAGGCATTAAAATTGCGTGAGCCGCAACGAATTAACCCCTCGCTGTGTCCAAAAGCAAAGCAAACTCCAGATACTCTACAGTTTCCCAGTGTCTTTATTCATCTCTTGGCTGGTGGTGCGCTGTCATGAGGAGGAGGACAGCAGCGTGGAAGGAAGGAAGGAAGTGCCTGGCCCGCGAGTAGATTAGTTGGCCACACTCCATTAAAGGGCAGAGAAATGTCTGCGTACGTATTCATACACGGACACCCTTATCGATGCTGCAGTAAATGGCTGGATAACTGGCTCGCTGCCCGCGCGCATTAAGTGTTTGCAAGCACACACAGGGGGGATATTGCAGCAGTCCCTGCGGAAAAGTGGACGCACTACACTCTTTATGCGAAGGCTTCGACAGACTTCAGCGTTGGAAAAGCTGCTGCTGCTGTTGCTGCAAATGCAGCCAGCGTTCAGTTAAGCTTAATGGATTCTGATTGAGATTTAATTATTTCATTTAATTTTCTAGATGACTTCACTGATGGGTGTCGCTGCCAAAATAAGCGAAAGTGAGAATGATGCAAGTGGGTGTTGGGGGATTTCACTCACCCACTGGACAGGCGCTAGAGTTAGATGTGTTAAAAAGCGGCTATTAAATAGCCGAATGAGTGACTGACGGTCTGTCTGATGTGCGGCCGAGCGATTGAGTGGTTGGCGACCAACCCCTAAGCGCTGGCAACCAACCACCTTCAACGGGATTTCTCACTTCGCTTGCAGTTAATGAAGTGACTAATTTCTTGGGCAATTATCTGTGGCAGATCATTTTAATTGATTTTGCGCGCAAACTAATTGTTCGCTGGCTTAGAAGGGTTAAGCAATGAGACGAGCAGCAGAAAAATCAAAAATTACTTGCAGGCAATTAAATTAAGATAATTCAATCCATTTACGATCCATATTAAAGCAACAACAAATCAACTCTAATTAAGTTTAACGAACTCACCTTGTACTCCTGCTGGGAAGAAAGCATGCGGAAATAAAAAAAAAGGTATTTAAAAAAATTTCCAACACTAATTTAAGCAAGTAATTCTATACAAATTACCTATCCCCCACACTCGGCGCAGAATCACGCACAATCCTGCCCCTTACAATAGACGCCATCGGCAGCGGACGCACATCCTGCAGCGCGCATATCCCCACTACTCTCGCCACCGTAGCCAAAGGTATCCCCATTGACGCGCTGCATTCCTCCAGCCGGAATGAAAGTGCCTGCGAAAGTATGCAACTGATTTGGTGGCGTGTGGGGCGGTGTGACAGCAGACGATTGGCCGCCGACGACGTACCGTTGCTGCAATTGAGGCAGTGCGGGCGAAGTGGATTGCATGGAAATCGTTGCAACCACCGAAGTTTGTTTGATTGCTGACGGTGATGCATAAGTTGGTGGCATATATGTGGGCGGCCATTCCCTTTGCATGGTGGGTGCGCTAAAACTCACGCTTGGCTGTAGTGTCGGCTTCTCGTCCGCGGCAGTGCTGGCCAGGCTCCATATGCGCGGCCTGCCGTTGGCGTTGTAGGGAAATTCTTCTTTGACATAGCTGTACGCACCGCTTGGGTATGCATCTGTTATGGGTGGATATTTGGGATTGTCATAGGGTTGGTGGTAGATTACGATTGGCTGCGTCTGCGGTTCTGTAGTTGATGTTGGTGATGGCGCTCTGTTTAATTGCACTAAATCTAAGGCCTCTGAAATGTAGATTGATTTAATTAAAGCTTCAAAGGATTTTCATATATTTTTTTTAATTATACACACACATGCATATGCGTAAATATGTATACATCACTAATAAGTGTGTTTGTCTCTTCAGTGTGTATTAAAAAGTTTCGGATGCGGTATTCTGAGGTTTTTTTTTAAATGAAATTTCATTAGAAAATTTGCGTTTTAAACACATTTTCGGAAGAAGAGCTTATTAGGTCAGTTTAGGCCTACTTTTCTTGGTGCTAGAGACATTTCTTCAGACTACTTTATGTGTCTTGATAGTCTTTTGTTCAATTTTGAATTATCTGGGTCCGAATCACGGCAGCCGAGATAAAATTAAACCTGACTTGAAAATTCATTTTGAGATTATGGGACGAGACCCCTCGACAATTGAAACTCAACTGGAGCCATCAATTTACTTCGCTCGATTTGTAACGATTGCCTTGTTTGGCCTACAAATGTTCTATTTCAGTCAATTAAATGTCAGACAAAAACCAAAGAAGACACATTCGTACAATCAATGATACCTATATGGAGCATTAGAAGTAAATCCAGATCCAGTATCTACATGGAATATAGGTAGTAGCTAATAACTTTTGACATCCGTTGTCATAGGAACATCTGCAGAAATTCGAGATCTAATGAACTGGTCAAGACAGGAATCAAGAATTTGGAATTGCTTCATGAAATAAGCGAATAAGCTATCCTATTTCATTTAATTTTCAGTCGGCGATGGCAGAGATGGTCATTCTTTTTTGTATCCTCCATAGTGGCGTTAAAGCTGTTATTTAAAAAAAAAAATAAAATGAATTTATTTCCAATAATTTAGGTTGATGTAGTATATTGGGCCATTAATTTTAAACCAATACTTAAGGATAACACCTGACTAATATAGTGACAATCATTGAAAAATCATTAATGGCGATTAAAATATTTTTAAAGGTATCGATAAAGATATTGAAAACTCAGTAACGCTTACGATAACAAATGACGATGTAAATATATATACATATCGATATTTTTTAAAGTTTTCGATAAACACATCGATGTCAATACAAATATATCGATATTTTTTATCGATTATTGATATTTATTAAAGTAACGATAATTATTGGTTAGTGTTAATAATCTGGCATACAAATATGAATGCCAACAGCGAAAAGCGTTTGAACGACCATTGCTTCCTCTTGCATTAACCCTCTAAGACTACTTTCTAAAATAATGGATACAAAAAAGTTGAACATATTTTTCTTAAATGCTTTTTAGCCACTAAATCCAAATATTANGTGAGAATATATGAATGCGTGCCTGAAGGCATTCTTGGGGTTTTAAGGGGGAAAAAAATCAGATTTTTATTATGTTGTTCTAATAAGTTTAGCTTTATTTTTTTGAGTGATAGTCAAAAAAACAATTTTTGCTGGCT